TTGGACAGGAATTCTGGAATTTTCTTTTTTTGCTTTTTCCCCCGTTTTTTAGATGTTCATCCTACGTTGGCAGAATTAGCGGAAAGCAGATAATCAATTTGGCCAGAGGGTGTTGGCAAATGGGTACTGTCGCTCATGAGATGGGTATGCGACTTTAGACCTATTTTAATAAAAAAAATAGTTTAGTTTTTTAATTAACGTGGGATCTAACACGTTAAGGGAACCGTTAAAGCAAATTTAGCTTTAGTTGATCATGTCCTCCCTTCCACCCAGCCATGCATTAAGTAAATGAAATGCGAATACTGTTCCACAAAATTTCGATCCAGTCATCACTTAAAAGAATTCCACCAAACTGCATATAAGCCTGAAATTTGCATCTAACGTTTGCATCTCCCAAACCGAAAGGGAAGAATGACTGACGTTCTTTATTTATCGATTGTAATTCGGCTCACCATCAATATTCAACTTGCTTAATTACGTGTGCTCAATCGTTGTATTCAATTATCAATTTCCAGCTCACGCTCTTGGCTTTTACCACGAACAGTCCCGTCCAGACAGAGATGATTACGTCACCATCCGAACTGAAAACATTAAAGCAGGTAAGAACGTAGTCTGCTACACGGCCGTTTTCAGTGTCGTCACGCAACACTCCTCTCCAGTGGGGAGGAGCGTTGCGTGACGACTCTCAAAACGGCTGTGCAGCAGACTAGTAAGAACGATGAAATAATTAATTGGTTTACCTCTTACCTTCCGGTAAGTTCCTACAAATTTCATCAAATAAAGTGCATCGCCATTACTTATAGCTTTGAGTTGTTATTTCCCTCGTTCATCTCCCCACCGGAGTGCCGGTTGTCAATCTTTTTTTCTGTGACTCTCTTCGCGGAGAATAGACATTCAGGTTTGAATGGTACTCTGAACAAGGGCCATCTACACGAATAGGAATTTCCTTGACAAGCTAGTTTTCCTTCTTCACAACTGTTTTTCTACCTTTTCAAATTAAAACTTGGCAAGCCTCTGGCCATTTTACACAAGCAGGAAGCAAATCAACAACGTCATCATCATCATCATCATCACCATCATTATCATCATCATTATCATCATTGCTATCATCATCATCATCATCATCATCATTGTCATCGTCACCGTCACCGTCATCTCTCATCATCATCATCATCATCATCACCATCATCATCACCACCACCATCATCATCATCATCATCATCACCATCATCATCATCATCATCATCATCATCACCACCACCACCACCACCACCACCACCATCATCATCATCATCATCATCATCACCACCACCATCATCATAATCATCATTATCACCATCATCACCATCATCATCATCATCATCATCATCATCATCATCATCATCATCATCATCATCATCATCATTATCATCATTATCATCAAATCCATTATTTTTATACGATAACAGTTCAAAGACAATCTGAGGTCGTGTAAAAACAGGTTAAAACACAACATTACTCAGGGGTAAAAAAATTCTCGAGGGAAAAATATTGCATAAGAAATTTTTAAACAAGATAACTATGAGGTTTTGAATAAATCTCTAATAGCGCTTAAAACTATTAAAAAAGGCTAATAGCCCATAAAATTGCATGCATTTCTTGTCAAGTTTTCGTTAAGGAGGGAGAGCTGTTTTCCAAAACTTGTTCGTGAAAACAGTGCTGATCCAGTGAATTTTCAACAAGACAATCTCCCATTGGAAATCGGTAATAGTGTAACGAATTTCCGTCATTTCTTCTTGGCGCTTCGATCCGTTATATAGGTTTCCATCACATAGGCAACTTTCGGCCGTGAAACATACAATCATTTTCAGCCCTATTTTACATCATGATTAGTAACTGTTTTCATTCAGTGAACTTTTCAACGGGGAGAATTTAACTTATTCTCAATATGTCATGTTCATATTCCTATAAGCAAAGCAATCAATAAATAGATATTTTGTTCCTTTCTTCTTTCAAAATATATAGGCTTTGAGGTCAACTTTAAGAAGCAGAGTTCTTACTCGGTCGATTCCCTCGGCACTCCGTATGATTATGGTAGTATAATGCATTACGGTACAAGTTACTTCAGCAAAAACGGACAGCCAACAATTGTAGTAAAGAAACCTGGGGTAAGACCATATAATGTCGTATAGGTTTGAAATGGGAATAAAAGACTACCCCCCCCCCCCCCCCCCCCCCTCGGGGACTTATGATCTAAGCATTACAAATAGGCCATTTCCGAGTTCCAAAAAAATCTCACTTTCAAAGCGAGGCTAAGTGCGAAGCCATTGATATGAAAATGATTTTTAATTGTGATCCAAATAAAACTCATTTTCACAACAAAGGTTTCTCACTTAGCATCGTTTTGAAAGTGAGATATTTTGGAACTCGGAAATGACCTATTGTATTTGATTACTGAGCACTGGTATTCTCCTGTTAAAAACGCGTCACTGTTACTACTTTTTCACACAATACAAACAATACAATGTTAAACACAGGACAATAATGCCAGTATACACGTGTACAACACTACTTAGAGTAGCTTCAGCATTTTGCCGAGCCTTTTTCTTTGGTGTGTGAAAATATACCTCCGGTAAGACCAATATATAACGTATGTGAAATCATAGATTTATAGGTCGGATTGCATTCACTGAAAAAAAAAAAATTACAACATAACGTGCATGTGATATCAGTCTTAAAGGCGCTTATCGTACATATTCAGCGTCGGAGCCCATAGCAGTAAAAGCTATCACTGCGGCCATGAATGAATGGAGTAGCAAGACATGCATCAAGTTTAAGAAGAGGACAACAGAGAAAGATTATGTAGAGTTCTTCAAGGGGAAAGGGTAAGTGTCTGAATAAAATATAGAATTACTCAACAAAACTACACTCTCCTCCTTCGATAACAACTGTGGTTAGGCCTTCGACACAACCTTGATCTACTTGCTATATTGCGTCATTTTTCAAATAGCCAAGTAGCTTTTGAGGGCCTTGGACAGGAATTCTGGAATTTTCTTTTTTTGCTTTTTCCCCCGTTTTTTAGATGTTCATCCTACGTTGGCAGAATTAGCGGAAAGCAGATAATCAATTTGGCCAGAGGGTGTTGGCAAATGGGTACTGTCGCTCATGAGATGGGTATGCGACTTTAGACCTATTTTAATAAAAAAAATAGTTTAGTTTTTTAATTAACGTGGGATCTAACACGTTAAGGGAACCGTTAAAGCAAATTTAGCTTTAGTTGATCATGTCCTCCCTTCCACCCAGCCATGCATTAAGTAAATGAAATGCGAATACTGTTCCACAAAATTTCGATCCAGTCATCACTTAAAAGAATTCCACCAAACTGCATATAAGCCTGAAATTTGCATCTAACGTTTGCATCTCCCAAACCGAAAGGGAAGAATGACTGACGTTCTTTATTTATCGATTGTAATTCGGCTCACCATCAATATTCAACTTGCTTAATTACGTGTGCTCAATCGTTGTATTCAATTATCAATTTCCAGCTCACGCTCTTGGCTTTTACCACGAACAGTCCCGTCCAGACAGAGATGATTACGTCACCATCCGAACTGAAAACATTAAAGCAGGTAAGAACGTAGTCTGCTACACGGCCGTTTTCAGTGTC